ATATGCTAAAAAGAACACCAAAACAAACTGAATGGCCTGAGCCTCCTGCTGACCTCCTTCCCCAGAGGAGCCGTCGCTGCTGGACTTCTCCCCAGCCCGCAGCCTCCAGCTCCCAGCGTGTGCCCAGCTCCGCCTCTCCAAGGCACCCCATGGTGCTGTCCCTGACCCTGCCTTGCGGAGGGAGCAGCAGGTAGGACTCAGCACCCACATCCCTGTGTGGATCGGAGACTTGCTGTGGTGGGGATCCTAGAGGAGGGACGTGAGGAGCAAGATCTCACTGGCAATGGCCCTGGCTTCCCTCCAGAGACATCTGCTCAGTGCCCACATCTCTGCTGTGTGAGTACCATGCGTTTGTGGTGCAGAGCAGGAGGGAGGTGGGATGTCACACCTGGTGCCAAGGCGAAGGATGGGGCGGTTTGATCTCAGGGACTGCGGGTCCCACTGGCAAGAGCTTGGGCACTGCCAGTGCTGTGGCTGCTGCTCAGGAGGGCACGAGAGCAAAGCTGCTGTGTGCTCTGCCCCCAAAAAAGTTGTCAACGGGCAAAAGCTCTGCTGCTGATCAAGAAGTTCCAAAGGACACAAAGGCTTGGAGGGAGCAGAGCTGGCCTCTGCAAGGGAAGGCTTTTCCCCATCTCCAAGAGGTCTGTGGGTGGGATGAGCTGGGACAGGTCTGTGCAAGTTGTGGGAGAGGAGCCACAGGCTTCTGCTCTTCTGATCTGTGTGAAGAAACAACCCCAAGAAATATCCCTTTAACTTCCAGACTTACTTCTTTTCAGCTCAGAAGTGAAAGTCCCCCTGTGCAGGGGGGGCTTTGCAGCCTCCCCTTGCTGCCCCAGGTCGCTCCCGATGAGCATTGGTGAGCGAGCACCAGCCAGCCGTAGCACCGGTTCAGGTGGTTTGTATCAGACAAGTTACTCCCTGGGTGATATCAGCAGAAAGATGTCACAGATCCAAGTCCAGACTGCCAGCAGCCACCGAAAACCCCAGGCTCCCTTTTGCTGGCCCTTTTGGGCTGACTCCTGCCTCAGGGTTTACCTGTGTGGCTAGTAAAAGACTGCGGCGAACCAAAGATTTTCTTCAGCAGCTGATGCCTACTTGTGAGAGCACACGCACAGGCGAGCGGCTGGGGGGAAAGAGCTCTTTGGACAGCAGTCCCACCACTGGGACACAACGGAAGGATGCTGTGGAGGCCAGGCCCATGGAGGCCTGAGGAAGAGCTGGCCAGTCTGCTGTTCCCTCCCCTTCAGACCTTGGCTGTGTGTGAGCCTCCTCCTGATGCTTGAGCATCCATGCTGTTACCCTGAATCGCAAAAACGTGAGCATGGGATGAGAACCCCAAATCCCTGAAGCACTAGTGAGCCCCCTATTAAAGCCAACAGCAAATTAACATGCAAACCCATGCCCAGGTTAACCAAAGGGAAGTGCTGCCAGGGGTTACACGTGTTCAGCTGGAAGCAGGCGCAAGAAGGCAGTGCTACAGCCCACCCTCCTACGATTGTCTAGGGAGGAGAAGAGTCAGTTTTGGCTCTCTGAGCAACGTTATCCCAATTACAAGTAGGGGAAAGAAGAGAAACACCTTTCAAAGACAGCAAATGACACATTTCCTTGGTTTTTATTCTTATTTTTATGTTAAACACAACTTTGAAATATTCTGGGGATATATTTATCACACTATGAGAATACAGGATGGCTTTACGTAACTGCAACTTTGTGTTTTCTTACACATAGGTGAAATATCGAGCAAGTCAGACACTGAAGGTTTGCATGTGAAAAAGCACTTTTTGCTGAGTAATCAGATGGCTGCTTGTTTGCAGCCTCCTAGAGCATGGATGCCCTGTGTGCACGGCCTGTGAGCACACAGACTGATAGCAAGCTATGTGAGCATACAGAGTTGATAGTAAACTGCCACATGGCATGCATTTCTTTATCTGCAAACAGGATCCTGAATGACATGGACTCCCCTTCTTGAAGTTAAAGCTGGAAGGAAGCTTGTCCTGATGAGTGGAGCTCGTATTTACCACAAAGGATTGCCATTATTCACAGGATCCACTTTTTCTTTCAGCCTTTCTGACACTGATAATAAAAGATACATGTACACTAAGATGGAAGTCTTTATAGAAGGCAATTGAGACAATACCTTGGAAGTCTGCTCTGAAATATTCTTCTAGAGACCAAAAAACAAAAAGTCACTTTTTTTCAGAAAATTACTTTTATGGGGAGGAAAGGCAAGATAGTTCATAGGTGTATAAAATAATGTATAGGAAAGGATGATATTTGTCTGTGACAAACAGTTTCATCACCCAAATCAGTTCTCCCTCTCACACACATACTGAGTCAATGAACATTGTCTTAGAGAAGACAGGACATCTGCTTCTTATAAGCAATTCATTATTTTTCCAATGTGGAAAAAGATGCAAAATATTGCATTTTTCTTTGGTACAAGATTCTTTCTTCCATCTTCTCTGAGTGAGTGTGGTTTGATGCTTTTGTCCTTTTGACAGCCTTCACTCTGTTTTCTTTCCTGGAGGTTGGTCATGCTGCCAAGAGAGGGCAGCAACCAAGCACAGAAACTGCATGCCTGGCCCTGTATTAGGTCACATGGGAATTTAATTTAAGGGATCATTACCACAGAAGCTCTGTGTCTTACTGTAATTACTGCTCAATGCACTTAGCCTGCTGCCAATTCGTTCTCACTGCAAAAGCAACCCTCTGAATTTCTCTTCTCTTTGTGTTTTCTTTCAGACAAAAGAAATAAGCCCAAACTTCTACTGAATCCTTTGGAGATAAGTTCTGTTCCATGGCAGCATGGCCAAACACCAGGGGCTGTTCTGGGGATGCTGTGTAGGAGGCATAGATCCCACACCTGCATTTCCATAGCTTTACAGGGGACTAAAAGCATGTAGCAAAGAAGTGTACCGCTATTTTATACCTTTATTTCCATGCGTAAGACATTTTCATAGTTCATGCTGTCACCTTCGTACTGCAGGCTGTGTTACCGATAATACTGTTCTGCTCTTTAATGGGCAGCATTTTCTCTCAAATCCACCACTCCTGTAAGATCCAGAGCCACCTCCTTCATCTGTAAGGCTGCATGATCAGATTACCACATATCCTTAAAGACATGTTTATTCCAGTATTTATTGACCTGATCCAGACTGAACCTGCTTTAGAAACAAAAGTAACCTGGTTGGTTTTAACATGGATAATTATCTTTACCCCAAAAAAGAGCTGTAGTGTTTTGGCCCTTGTCTCCAGAGGCAATTGGTTCTTTTGCCCATATTTTTGAGATTACAACATTAAAACACAACGTTCCCAGCGGACTTTCAGTTGACAAGGAAAATGTCATGGCCTGGTAAAAATGGTGGTAGACAGAAGGAGGCTCTGCGTGGGCTTTGTCTTACTGCGGGACAAAAGTGCTGTTGCTCTCTGGGGCTCTGCTCTTCCCATGTCAAACACAGATGCCGGCTCTTTAGCTGGTTACTGGAAAACACTTGAAGCTCTACCGATAAAATGGAACATCTGCATTTAAGGGCGGAAGAAGAAGAAATCATCCCCAAGCACCCTGTGCGGAGCTGGACGGGGCTGTATTGGCAGGAAAGCACGAAGCGCTGGATGACTCCTGCCGCCTGTGCTATACTTAGACTTGAACAGACTAATGCTGGCTTAACCTTGTGTATAGAAAAAGAAAAGGCCGTGGGTCAGGCCGAGACTGAGTGTGGGAGAGCTTGTTGGCCTTCTCAGGGCAGCAGGAGCTGAGAGAGCACCAAGCCCACAGGGAAGGTGTTCAGCCAGTGTCAGACACAGATTGCTTTGAGGGGGGGAACACCCGCAGTCCCACCTGTGATCCTGCCCATTTCTCCTCAGCTGGGAGGTTGTGCAGCAATCAGCATTTTAGGGGGAAGGAGATTAAACGAGAGGAGGGGAAGCCCAGCGAATGGGAGTGGTGGGGTTACACCAGGCGTACGCTTCTCTCTGTGCAGGTACTGCCACTCCTACCATCTGAGCCTAATCCTGCCCCAGATGTCCTCTGTAACCTGGGCAGGGGCACTGAAGCCCAGAGTAATTTAAAGGCCAATTAAGTTGCCTAAATTCCCTGGAGGGTATGAGCCTTGGCTGCACTTTCACACTACAGCTAAATCGGTCTGGCAGCTGCTGAAAGCGGCAGGCCCCCTCCTGCGCGTCCACCCTGCAGCTAAACCGGCCGGGCAGCTGCGGAAAGCGGCAGGACCCCTCCTGCCCCGCGCTCCCCTGGGGGCTTTGCTCAGGTTTGCCAGCGACGTTAGCAGAATTAAAAACCTCAGCTCCTCCAACTTCTTTGCACGAAGGGAGGATGCTCCTGTAAATTCAGCTCAAGCTGTGCAAACAGTGATTAAAGAAATAAACAGGAATCAGACAGCAAAAGGCTGGCCGTTTGGTTTTCCACAGGTCCTGCGCCTTGCATCACGTCCCCAGAGCTGTCAGCAGCGGCTTCATAGTGCTGCCGGCAGCCAGGCAGCCCCTGTGTATGACCTTCACTGATTTCAGCTGGGGTGAGCGTGCAGATCACACAGGGGACGGATGAGCTTCCACCCTGCCATCCCTATGCCAACATCTTCAGCAAAGCACCTCCCTTTGCAGCATAGGAACCACAACAAGAGCTGGACCCCCCCTGGATGGACTTCTCCATTGGCGGTGGCTGGTGGGTCTCTATGGGAAGTGCCTGGCGAGTGCTCAGCATCGAGTTCATCAGCAAAAAGGGCTGGGAACTACCGAACTCGAATATCAGCTTTTCGCTAAGCATTTCTGCCTTCTTTCACTAGCATGAGTAATAACTTCCTCCAGTCAAATAAGTTTGTTATTTAAAAAGGGCAAGGAACTCTTTTTTTATATTGTCCTAACACTCAGTAGCTCTTGTGCTTTTTTCTTTCTGTGACTTTTTTTTTTTTAAAACAATGGAGAAAATAGACATCAGTCACACCAACAAATGATCTTTCAATGTGCGTGTTTGTTGTAATGGGCAGTAATAACTCCAGACAAATCACTCGGCAGAGAGCAGCAAAAGACTAACAGCTTGAGCACAGGTCTAAGAGACTCCAAGCCAATTAATGAACTGTGTGGCCCCTCTGCTGAAATCGGAGAGCCCACAAGCAGGTCTTTAGGAATTTGCAGCAGTAATGAGGCTACTGAGGCTGTTTTCTGAAAGTTTGTGATCCTGCGCACAGACAATGATGCAGATCAATCCACACAGATCCAGAACCTGCTGCAGAATAAATTTTGTGTTAAATCTGGGATAATCTTTGCAGCGATACGTTGTAGTGAACTTAAGTGGTGCTGTGAATGGCTCAGCATAGACTATTATGCTACTGACAAAATTTTCTGAATGGATCTTGCTATGTGGTTCAGTCTTATACCTCCTTTGTCAATGCTCTTAACAGCATAAATTACAACTCTGTGATACCTATGAGGCCACTGAATAACCCACTTACCCAGGAGAAGACTTTTTTTTGCTTTGCAGGCTGTTAACGCACTGTAAGAAGATAGTCCTGGCTTTGCGAAACAAATGGAGAAAATGTTCCAGGAGTCTCATACAGGCAACAGTGAGAGATACGGAGGGAGGAAAGGATGAAACAGAAAGCAGAGCACTTGTCATGGTGAAAAACGGTGAAGACAGACCATGTTTAGAATAAAGCAGAAGTGATATTCCTTGCTCTTGTTTTATAAAGGAAGGGAAACTCTTCTTTTGACAAAACTAATGGTAAAGTTCTCTGCCCAGGCCTGTTAATTAAGTTCTGCTGAATGCATGCCGTATACGAATGCATGCCTGGCACTGTGGCTACTTAGAGATAGAAAATGCTGCCAACCCCAAACCCTACCTATGTTTGGCTTTATCTTGTGAGCTCTGCCAGACCGTGTATTGTTTTCCATGAACAATGTACAGCTCTTCACATTTTGTAGCTGATACTGAAAAATATTAATAAAGGAGGAATACTAGTCATCACATTGAAACCAATACATCACGAAAGGCACTCTATGAAATACGCTATTACTTTGAGAAACGGGCATTTCAAAGATATTTTACTTTTGTTATATTTGGGATTTTATTTTCTATATAAAAAACATTTTCTGATGTGTTTTGTTATTTCAAGAAACATTTTCTTGGCTCATTTTGGCAAAACTTTGTTTGGCACATTCTTTACGGGAAAAAATTAGACAATTATATTTGAGAGAATAGTGTGGGAGGCTGTGTTTGTCTTCAAGGCAAGTGTTCTGAGCTCAAGCTGGAAAAGGAGGAGAGCCACAGAAATGGCACTGTTTTGAATTACTTGCATTTTGTGCATTTCAGATATCCTAGTTCTTAAGCATATTTGAACAGATTTAAGACAGATCTTTGATGCTCCTTTTTCCTCCTGTAGTTGATAGGACTGCTAGCTGTGATTCAGTAAGCCATCATCTTGCATTAGATTTCACTATAGTTTTGTATCGCTGATATGGAATGTAATTATTAAAATAGCATTGGAAATCTTTGCTTTTTAATTTAATTAATTATAAAAAATTTAAACATGATCATTTATTATTTTCTGAATGACCGAAATCTAGCTATTCCAAATGTAAGGACAGTCAGCTCTGAGCAAAACAATCTGTTCCTTGCAGAGAGGAGGCAGCGAGAGGGGCTTTGGTGTCTGGATCAGCGTCCAGAGATGATCTCCCTGCTTGTGGGAGGTAGCTAACGTGATAGCTGTGCCATTGCTTGCATGCAGCGTGATTTTGGACGCAGTGTTTTGTGTTCTGCCTCTGTTCCCTGTTTTGCAAATGAGGAGAACAACACCTATGTATCTCTGTCTCAAAAATTTAGGGCAAGAATCACTTACGGACGCACCACTTGCTTCATCCACTTGTGGGCTGTACCCTTGTGCACAGGAAAGCAGATTTGTGGAGCTGGGGGGCTGCTGGGTGTCCGCAGCCCTTGCAAAGTGCTCTTGGTGCAGCCGCTCACGGTGCCTGGGATGGCAGAAAATCCTAGGCAGGGTAGGGGGTTTCTCAGTTAATCGCCCCTGGTTAATTAATCCCCGACACTGCGAGTGATGCCCATCGACAACAGAGAGCTGCCTGCAGGCAGAGGGGCACTTCTGACTCCAGTGCTGGGGAACAGGTCACCATAAGCAGGGGGGGCCAGGCCTCGGCTGCCCTCTGCCCCCCTTGCCACGCCGAGGTGGCCGGAGCCACCAGAGCTCCTCGAGGAGAGCCACAAGCACCGTGAGCGTGGGTGGAGGGTTTCGGCTGTGGGAGGCTTTCAGAGTTCCTCTGCCAGTGCTATTCATTTAAGTGCTGTCTACAGTATTTTTTACCTTTTTTATTTTTCCTGCCAGTGTAAATGTACTTTTTCCTGTGATATTTAAAAAGGTAAATGTAGGACGACCTGACTATAGCATACAGTCTATAAACCACTCCAATGGGAGGATTATGCAAAGAAGACAGAAGGAAAAGAGAATGAGAAGAAGCCTAAGAGAAACAGGAGGAGATATGGTCTGTCCTGGGCTGTTACACAGCTAAGTGTTTCCAAAAAGGAAAAACAGTTCTCAGGCTTGGACCAAACCTCAGCAACCCAGAGACTCCTGTTCTTGAGCTACCGAGGTGCTGTGTTGTTGTTAGTTATTTCTTCCACCTCTATAAAACCATTTCTTCTGGCTGCTCCCAGGAGACGCCAGTTGCTATGCTGGTGAGAAGCCCATACTTGCAGGTAATATCCTACTGTGCAGCTCTTGGGCAATGTTTGAGGGTTAAAGTCCACAGGTCATTTACTCTTTAATGTTGTTCTCCTTCAGTAGCTAGTTCAGAAAAAAAATGTTCCCGCAATGTTTTACTGTCTGCTCATACTGTTGCATACTGCCGCATACTGCCTGCAAGAACCACACGGACAGCTATCTCGTATGCTAGGTGCCTACAAATAAAAATTGCCGTCTTATTTTCATGCAGAAATGTGTGCCTTGTCACTGCCCATCCTCCTGCCAGTCTTACCGGGATGCTTAGTGTTCTGCCCTGCCGGCTGACAACTGCCTGGCCGTTAAGCGAGGGTCTGCCTAGGAGTTGCAGACTCCAGCCAAATGAAACTCCTGTTACTCGTCTTAGGCTGCATTCGCTGCCGACCGCACCTTTGCCATACCTCTCCCAGGCAGCTGCCTTCATGCTACGTGCAGAGTTCCCCGAGCACTGCAGCAGAATGCAGTACTTAAAAGGGTACGTGGGGATACTCTGGCAAAGGGAGGAAATTTGTGTCCTGCGCTAAGAAAAGCCTAAGAGATGCGTATGTCATCCAGCTGTGACCTCTGCCCCTGCTCTCACACTCATGGATGCGAGTGCTGGAAAAGCAAGCTGGGTGACCCTACCCCATCTTTGGTACGGTAAAAGAAAAACAGTTCAGGAGTTGTGAGCATACTGCTGCATGAGCAATACTGCACTACAAACCGAATATATGGAATTACGTCTAAAGCTGAACTACCGCTCCCCAGGAGAAGCCGGAGCACTGTTGCCATGACTATCATGTTTGCGAGGGAGACTCTTGTCTGCATCTCGGAGCCCTCTGCAGCCAGCAGCCTCTGCGCTGTCTCCTCCCTCTGGAGGTCCCAAATGTCACCCTGACACCACCTGTCCCCTCGGTACACCCTGTCCCGGCAGAAGTGAGCGAAGGGTCAGAGGCAGGGAGAGACTGGGGGGATGCTGAGCATTGTGCTGGACTTGGGTGGAAGGCTCCTGGCCCTGGGTGTGGGGGGGTGCGGTCATCCCCTGGTTCAGCAACAGTGTTTGAAGCAGGCGCCTTGTTAATGGTTGGAAATTGGACATGCCCGAACGGATGGGGAAGGGGAGTGGTGAGACTGAGGGCTGGGACAGCAAGACAGCACACTGGAAAAATGCTCTCTGGCATCAGTCTCAGCCCCCTCTCCCCGCAGCGGGTTAGGTGCTCGGAGATCTCTCCGTACTTTGCTACGTTCAGCTGTTAAACAAGAACAGCAATCCTTATGTTGCAGAAGGCTGTGTATATATATTTTATTTACAAATTCTTGCGATAGAAGGCCTTGCACAATGGAAAGTAGAGCTGACACACTTCATATGCTTCATGGTGTATTTGGCTTTGTCTGCAATAGGTTTTTAGTGATTTTAAATTTTCCTTTGCTCTGCCTGAAGGCCTATAAAGACTTCCGCAAAAAATGCTGAGACGTATTAACTGGAATAAGCCATTTTCTGTTTTTTGTCTCTTAAAAGTACAATCCTATTCCAAAATTTCTAGCACTTGTCTCAGACGTTTCCCTCTTGGCCTGTGGAAAACGTGAGGTCTTGTGGCTGCCACCTTGCCCTGCACTGCATTCGCCCCTTAAAGAAATGGCAGCATAAAAGCAGCAGCTATTCCTTCTCAGAAAACCATCACTATCTCATTTGGCGTTACCACTAAAAGGGGAAAAAACCTCCAAAACCAAAACTCAGATAATGCAGCTTCTCCTCAGATTTCAGTGCTGGGGATGGTTTGCTTGTGCACTCTGGCTGACAGCCAGAGCTGGGGGGTACCCAAGCAAAGGACAATGCCCAAGTACCCGAGGTACTAGTGGCATAAATCCAAGAGATTCATAAATAAGCTAAGGCAGTCTGTGGAGAACAGTTTTAATAAGCTCAGTGTGGTTAGCAAACCAAGCAAACAGTTCCAATCTGCTCTAATTGAATCTTCTGAGGCGTGCTTGCGAGAAGCCCTAGTAAAGTGTATTTTAGTAAACCAGCCTGCAGAAGAAAATGGAGTGGATGCTCATATGCTGCGGCAGTGGAACAGGCTGCCTAGATAAGGAGGGAATTTGTTACGTGCAGACTTGCTCAGAAGTGTGAAACCTCGCTGTTAAAGGCAAGTGCTGAAGAGCCTGTGGGGTTTCCTCAGGCAGGTCAGGCGTCTGGAGGGGAGGATGCGGGGCAATGCCCAGGGGATGGCTGTGGCTGACGGCAGCTCCGCAAGGAGAAGAGCCACTACTGAAATGACACTGGTCTTTCTTATCAGAAAACTACCATGCAGACAGGCAGAGACACCCCTGCACAAGGGAACTGTGAAACTCAGTAGCTGAGCCTTATGTCATTTAAAAAAAAATCCCAAACCTCTGCCTCCTAACCTAGAATTAAGCCAGGCTTGGAAATAGTTTTCCTGCTAGTCCATGCCCTCTGTTTCTTCAGGGTCAGGCTACAGTCAGCAATCAGAGGCAGCTTAACAGAAGAGTCCCTGGTCACGATTTAATAGGAAGCTACTCCCAGAGATGTTTTTGCTAAGAGGCCACACACTTGCCTCTGACCAACTGCTTATAGAAATGGTTAGAAGGCAGAAAGTGAGAGCAGAACTCTCCAAAGCACGTATGCGTGTGACTGCGTGCGTATGCACACACACACCCACGAGGCCAGAAACCGCTGGGAACTGGGATTCTTTGCTACAGACAGAAAGGTTTCTGGATATATACGGCAACGTAAAAGGTCACAGCTCGTCTGAACTGCTCGATGCCTCTGCAGACTTCCAATGACAGTTACAGCTGCAGACAACTAAAATGTAGGGACGCTTATAGCACTTGCATCTGAAGCCAAGGACTGAAATACTACCGGCATGCT